AAATAAATAAAATCTTTAAAAAATAAATAAATAAAAATAGAAGTCACTGAATGGGATTTTTCAGAAAGCTCTTTAAAGGGGACGAACTCAGCTGACATGTGGGTTATGCCTTTCCCTTTCTGAAATTAAGACATGTTGTCTGGACCTCTGACAGGCATTTCGAGAGTTTAAGGACAAGGGTCAAACTTCTAAGAATGGTAAATTGAAAGTTAGTAGTCTATTAACACCGTAAAATCCCTAACCAAGCAACTCTGGGATACTTCTCTCCAGACTTGACTTTACTCCAGCCAAACTCAACCCCTAACTCCTAAATCCTTTTTATTTATTTTTTATTTTTTTATTTCCTTAAAGATTTTATTTATTTATTTGACAGAGAGAGAAACAGCGAGAGAGGGAACACAAGCAGGGGGAGAGGGAGAAGCAAGCCCCCCACAGAGCAGGGAGCTGGATGCAGGGCTAGATCCCAGGGTCCTGGGATCATGACCTGAGCTGAGCAGACACTTAACGGACTGAGCCACCCAGGCGCCCCATCCTTTTTCTTTACATCTTCAGTTTCAATTCATTCTCCACACAGCAGCCAAAGTGGTCTTTTTTTAAAGGGGGGATGGGCAGGTCTTGACTCCCAAGGATCCCACAAAGTAGACGCGTAACCTTAGGGGCAACCTTTATCTGCTCAAAAATACATCTCAGATTAGCAGTGAGGAATCAGGCATCACCCCGCATTATTTCCTTAGTCATAAGTTTAAGGCATCAAAGTTTGGTTTTTTTTTTTTTTTAAGAGAGATCTAGAGAGAATGTGCGGGTGGTAGGGGTAAGGGTGGGGTGGGGGAGAGGGAAAGACAGAATCCCAAGAGGGTTCCATGCCCAGCGCAAAGCCTGATTCGGGGACTGATCCCATAACCCTGAGATTATGACCTGAGCTGAAATCAAGAGCTGGACACTCAACCAACTGAGCCACCCAGGCGCCCCCGAAGTGGTCTTTTAAAAACAAAAATTTTGTTCTTTTCTTTAAATCCTCAAATGGCTTTCAGAGTCACTTAAAATACAAATTCTTTACTTTGGACTTAGGAAGTTTTATGTGATCTGGCTCCTGCCTCCCACATCTCCAACTTCATCTTGCATCATTCACCGCCTCTTACCCACAATACTCCAGCCACAATAACCTTTTGCTTGCTTAAACATAGCAAATTTATTCCTTATTTATGGCCTTTACATTCACTATTTCCTCTGATATGGAATATTTTCTTCCCCTAAAGACATAGCTTTATCATTCAGATCTCAATTTAAGTCAAGAGTCCTAGGAAAGGCCTTTTCTGAACACCCAGTCAAAAACAACCAATTAATCTCATCTATACAATATTGTATTTCTCTGCATTGCTTTTATCACTTATTTGTCTGTCTTACCTTGCCCCACTCATTACTACAGTCTCAGCACATATCATGGTACCTAGGATAAAGGGAGCCCTCAAATAGTTGTTAAATAAAGAGCTGTTGGTACTGATGATACAAAGATGAGCCAAGATGCTTCCTTACTCTTGAGCTTCTCAGGGAGCATCGGGCTCCCTGCTCAGTGGGGAGTCTGCTTCTCCCTCTGCCCCTGCCTGTGCACGGGGGCATGCTCTCTCAAATAAATGAATAAAATCTTAAAAAAAAAAAAAAAAAAAAAGTAGGGAGTCTAGTAGTGAAAGACACCTTTGAATCACTTTGAAAAACATTAAAAATTACAAATCTGGGTTGAAAGTCTGATTGGAATTATATTCAAAGCTCTTTTAAAAACTTCTAAATGTATGTATATATGTACAGAAAAAAATGAAAGAAAAAAAACAATAGAAGGAAATAACCAAAATGAAGATGTATCTCTACATGTTTGAAATATTTCATAGACAAACAAAATATTTTAAAGAAAAGAATTATCTCCAGGGGTGGGATTACAGATAATTTTTACTTTATTATAGTTCTATGTATTTTCCAAAATTCAATAATAAGCAAACATGTTACTTTTGTATTCACAGAAACTGGCCAATTATTTAAAAGGGAAAAGCAATTAAATGGTTCTACACTGACTGTATAACGATTACTAGTTCTTTCTGTATGCATATAAGAATTGATCATCTTACTGTATGACTAAGTTAATTCCAATTTACCCTCCCAACTATCAGTTTAAGGATTATTCCCAAGAAACTCTTTCCCTCAGGTCAGGTTACCCCACCCCAACAGTTCTCCTTATTTAAACTCAACAAACACACATATAATTGTTCAATGTTTCATTGCCTTACTAGACCATAATTTACTCCATAATAGCATGGACCATGGTGTATCTTTTTTAAGATTTATTTATTTATTTCAGAGAGAGAGCGAGCGCACAAGCATGAACAGGGGGAGGGGGAGAGGGAGAAGCAGACTTCCTGCTGAGCAAGGGGCCCAATGTGGGGCTCAATCCCAGGACCTTGGGATCATGACCCGAGCCGAAGGCAGAGGCTTAACTGACTGAGCCGCCCAGACTGAGTCACCCAGGTGCCCTGGACTATGTCTACCTTATTAACAACATAGATGGCATTCAATAAATATTTGTTGAATAAATGAAGAAAAATGTAGACTTAAACTAAAGAGTTAACCCATAGTGATACAGATGATGTCATATATAATACTAAATAGATGCCCCCTGAGATCTTTAACAGGGAAAACTACAGAATAAATCAAAAAAAGACTGCCTTCCCACCATCTTATTTCCCAGTTTTTGGCTTTGACATTGTATCACCCCAAAGCACAAACTGACCAAATTATCAACACTCACACTGAACAGAATGGGTCACCTTTATCAACATATTATAAAGTCCCTAGTCTCAGAAACAGGATAAGCGGTCATACTTTCAAATGGTTGGGTATGAGCTCCCGGGCGCTTAAAAAAAATCCTTAAACTCATTTGGGAAAACAAGTGCCTCCTTCTTACCTGGCAATGAGCTAAGCAATGGAGAACTGAAAATATAAGTCTCTGCCTTTAATGACTCACACTCACAGTTCCTAAGAGCAGATAAGAGATAAAGCACCTAAGTAAACACCTAAGGATATAACAAAGTATGACCAAGCCTACAGATACAATGTCTGACACATCTAACCACCTAATATCTCATCCAAACACCTAATATCTCATCCAAACACCCAATGGACTAGTAATACCACTCTCAGATACACACCTAAAATTCTTACACACGTGCACCAAAAAAAAAAAAAAAAACCACCCGGAAATATCCAAATGTTCCATAGATGCATCAACTTCAGTATATTCTATTTTTTTAAAAAAGGAAATACTACAGAAGGATTTAAGAAAAATGAAGCAAAATGTATTATCACTGCTAAAAAGCAATAGTATCAGACAACCCACACTTTAAGTATGCCAATCCCAAATAGGATAGTTCACATAAAACAAAGAAACCTTGGAGCACCTGGGTGGCTCAGTCAGTTAAGTGTCTGTCTTCGGCTCAGGTCATGATCCTAGAGTCCTGGGATAGAGCCCTACATTGGGCTCCCTGCCCAGTGGGGAGTCTGCTTCTCCCTCTGTTCCTCCTCCACACTCATGTTCTCTCTCTCTCCCCCTCGCTTAATCTCTCTCTCTCAAATTAAACAAAAACAAACCAAAAAATCCACAAAAACAAAACAAGGAAACCTAAAAGTAAAGTACCCACAGTCACTTGAGAAAGAAGTCTACATATACTAGCCCTGCATTTGTAATCACTAGAAAAATATGTAATCCCAAAAAGGCTGAAAATAATTAAGAGTAACAGGCCTGCCCTAACACCTATGCAAAGGGTTTATGCACGTGCAGCAGCAACTCCAAAAAAAAAAAGTAGATGCCTTCAAAGATTTTTTGGCTTACTGTAAATGTTACTAAGCCTACCAATTCCAGGCACTATACAAGATGAAGGAAAAAAGATGAGTAAGTATCTTCAAGGAGCTCAATGATATTTAGCAGCAGCAGAAAGACAATGTACAATTACCAATACATATATAACTACTCTAACAAAATCCTGACAAAATGACACTGGAAAATAGGGATAAACTGTGTTTTCACAAAAGGTTTATCAGGAGTGGCATTTTAGGAGAAGTATATTTCAAGGGCAAAGAAGGAGGTAAGGGCTTATTGAAGGCAGACAGAATAACTAAATGGTGAGCAATATCGTGTAGCTGAAGATCTGAGAGTGAAGTATGTGTAGGCATGTAACTGTGTTGAGACTTGACAGGAAATAGGTCAAGAAAGGTAGGCTAGAACAAAAGTATAAAAGTTTTGCCTTTATGCAATAGGCAGTAAAGAGACTAAAGGAAAATGACAAGATCATATTTTAAAAATTAAATCATGTGGCATGGGGACACCTGGGTGGCCCAGTCAGTTAAGCGTCTGCCTTCAGCTCAGGTCATGATCCCAGAATCCTGGGATGGAGCGCCACGTCAGGCTCCCTACTGAGTGGGGAGTCTGCTTCTTCCTTTCCCTCTTCTCCTCCCCATGCTCTCTCTCTCAAATAAATAAAATCTTTTAAAATCAATCAATGAATCAGTCCTGTGGCATGGCACCAGGAGAGCTGAACAGAGGATGCAGAGAAATAAATGTAAATAAGCAAACTGTTTGGGACGCCTGGGTGGCTCAGTCAGTTAAGCCTCTGCCTTCAGCTCGGGTCATGATCTCAGGGTACTGGGATTGGGATCAAGTCCTACATCAGGCTCCTTGCTCAGCGGGGAGTCTGCTTCTCCCTCTGCCTGCCACTCCCCCGGCTTGTGCTCTCTCTCTGACAAATAAAGTCT